GCATATAGAGCACTCCATCCCAAAGATAAAGAATATACATTCTTCTCATCACCCCATGGAACATTCTCCAAAATTCATCATATCCTAGGACACAAAAGAAACCTCAATAGAATCAAAAGAATTGAAATTTTACCTTGTATCTTCTTGACCACAAAACACTACAGGTGGAACTCAATTCCAACAAAAACGTTCAACCCCACACAAAGGCATGGAAATTAAACAACCTTCTGTTGAATGACAGTTGGGTACAAGAAGAAATAAAAGGGGAAACCATTAACTTCCTTAAGCCTAACAACAATGAAGACACAAGCTACCAAAACCTGTGGGATACTGAAAAAGAAATTTTGAGAGGAAAATTTATCACTTTAGATGCTTACATTCAAAAACAAAAAGAGAGCCTATCAACAAACTCATAAGCCATCGTATGGAATTAGAAAAAGAAGAACAATTTAAGCCTAAACCCAGCAGAAGTAAAGAAATATCCAAAATTAAATCAGAGATCAATGAAATTGAAAACAAAAAAATCATTCAGAAAATTAATGAAACAAGGAGTTGTTTTTTTGAAAAAATAAATAAATAAAATAGATTAACCTTTGGCCAGACTAACTAGAAATAGAAAAGTAAAATCTCTAATAACCTCAATCAGAAATGATAAAGGGGAAATAACAACTGATGCCACAGAGATACAAGAGATCATCTCTGAATACTACCAGAAACTCTATGCTCTGAATTTGACAATGTGAAGGAAATGGATCAGTATTTGGAATCACATCCTCTCCCTAGACTTAGCCAGGAAGAAATAGAGCTCCCAAACAGGCCAATTTCAAGCACTGAGATTAAAGAAACAAAAATCTTCTAACAAAAAATGCCCTGGTCTGGATGGCTTCACACCAGAATTCTATGAAACCTTCAAGGAAGAGCTTATTCCTGTACTCCAGAAATTATTCCAAAAAATTGAGGAGGAGGGAATCTTCCCCAACACGCTCTATGAAGCAAACATCACCCTGACACCAAAACCAGGAAAGGACACAACTAAAAAGGAGAATTTCAGACCAATTTCACTAATGAATATAGATGCAAAATTTCTCAACAAAATACTAGCCAATAGATTATAGCTTATCATCAAAAAAAAAACATACATCATGATCAAGTAGGTTTCATCCCAGGGATGAAGGGCTGGTTTAATATATGCAAGTCTATAAATGTTATTCACCGTATCAATAGAAGTAAAGCCAAGGACTATATGATCCTCTCAATAGATGCAGAAAAAGCATTAGATAAAATCCAGCATCCTTTTCTAATTAGCACACGGAGAGTATAGGGATATGTGGCACATTTATGAAACTGATCGAAGCTATCTATGACAAACTCACAGCTAATATTTTACTGAATGGAGTAAAACTGAAAGCTTTTCCACTTAGAACTGGAACCAAACAAGGTTGTCCTCTGTCACTGTTACTATTCAACATAGTGCTGGAAGTTCTAGCCAATACAATCAGGCAAGAGAAGGAAACAAAGGGCATCCAAATGGGAGCAGAAGAGGTCGAACTCTCCCTCTTTGCTGATAATATTATCTTATACTTAGGGAACCCTAAAGATTCAATGACAAGATGCCTGGAAGTCATCAAAAAATACAGTAATGTCTCGGGATATAAAATCAATGTCCACAAGTCAGTTGCCTTTGTATACTCCAATAAAAGCCAAGATGAGAGGCTAATTAAGGACACAACTCCCTTCAACATAGCTTCAAAGAAAATGAAATACCTAGGAATATACCTAACAAAGGAGGTGAAGAACCTCTATAAAGAAAATTATGAAATCCTAAGAAAGGAAATAGCAGAGGATATTAACAAATGGAAGAACATACCATGCTCATGGCTGGGAAGAATCAACATTGTTAAAATGTCCATACTTCCCAAAGCAATCTACCTATTCAAGGCCATCCCTATTAAAATACCAACATTGTACATTCAAGATTTGGAAAAAATGATTTTGCGTTTTGTATGGAACCAAAAAAACCCCCGTATAGCTAAGGCAATTCTTAGTAATACAAACAAAGCTGGGAACATCACCATACCAGATTTTAGGCTGCACTACAAAGCCACAGTGATCAAGACAGCATGGTACTGGCATAAAAATAGAGACATAGACATTTGGAATTGAATAGAAAACCAGGAAGTGGAACTAACATCTTAAAGCCACCTGACCTTTGATAAACCAAACAAGAATATACCTGGGGGGAAGACCACCTATTCAATACATGGTGCTGGGAGAACTGGATATCCACATGTAAAAGACTGAAACTGGACCCACACCTTTCCCCACTCACAAAAATTGATTCAAGATGGATAAAGGACTTACATTTAAGGCATGAAACAATAAAAATCCTCAAAGAAAGTATAGGAAAAACACTGGAAGATATTGACCTGGGGAAAGATTTCATGAAGAAGACTGCTGTGGCAATTGCAATAACAAAAATAAACAAATGGGACTTAATTAAACTGAAAACCTTCTGTACAGCTAAGTAGACAACCAAAGCAAATAGACAACACAATGGGAAAGGATATTTGCATATTTTGAATCAGACAAAAGCTTGGTAACTAGAATCTGTAGAGAACTCAAATTAATCCACATGAAAAAAGTGAACAATCCCATATATCATTGGGCAAGAAACATGAATAGAACCTTCTCTAAAGAAGACAGACAAAAGACTAACAAACATATGAAAAAATGCTCATCATCCCTAATTATTAGACAAATTCAAATCAAAACCACCCTGAGATACCATCTAACCCCAGCAAGAATAGCCTACATCACAAAATCTCAAAACTGCAGATGCTGGTGTGGATGTGGAGAGAAGGGAACCAATGCAACCTTTTTGGAAGGAAGTATGGAGAACTCTCAAAGAATTCAAGCTACACTTCCCATTTGATCATGCAATCCCATTACTGGGCATCTACCCAGAAGGAAAAAAAATCCTTTTATCATAAGGACACTTGCACTAGACTGTTTATTGCAGCTCAATTTACAATCACCAAAATGTGGAAACAACCTAAATGCCCAACAACCCAGGAATGGATTAACAAGCTGTGGTATATGTATACCATGGAAT